CTAACGAGATGGATTGGCCAGGTGGCATCATTGATGGACTCAAGTGTGGCAGCGGTAGTGAGGTTGGCCCAGGATTGGACATTGTTTTGTTTTGCTGTGCGTGGGGTTGCTATGAGTCATTTCCGGGCTGCCATCTTGTTTGTTCTCCTCTTTTACTTTTTGCTACTTCCTGAAGTGAGTAGGGACTGTATGACCTTTCTTTTAATTTTCCTATGTCCTGACATGAGTAAGAAGAATGCATGCCTTAGAAATTTGAATTAGCCAACATTGTAAGGAAAAAGACTGCAGGAGAAGCTCTAGCAAATGGGGTAGAGACAGCCTTCAGACTTGCTTAAGGTACCCTCTCAACACAGGAACACATGAACAGGTATGTAAGCTTGCTGATGACCATATTGGTATATGGGTGAGTGACAGAGGGGGGAAACAGCAATGGAGAAATGGGCTGAGTTCAAACACATTCCATAGACTCCCATTGACCTGGAGTTGTGAGAGAGAAGAGGAAGAGCTGGTTGGTCCAAAGTTTGATGAGACCTAGGAACACTTGAGCCCATGGACAAGTACATAGCCACAGAAAGTTAGAGCTGAGAGTGAAGCTTCCAGTTGAAATGGATTTGTAGAAGCACACAAGAACACCCAAAGTTGCAGATAGTACCCACATGACCTAGCTTTGATGACTTCATAATAAGAACTTGACTAGAGGAAGGAAAAATAATAATAATAAAAAATAAAAGAATAAAATAATTTTTGATAAAGGAAACAAGAGTAAATTGCTACAATTTGATGCACTTGACTTATACTCATTAAGGTCGTAACTCTAAATACCATCGGAGAGGGAAGGAGTCTTCACATCAAGGATCGATGCTATCCCCTCTGGACAAAGGGCAAATAGGGATGGGAAACTTAGACATTGGCTACCTAAAATGAGGCGGCGATAAAGGCACAAAGTGACTTGCTTACAAGGTTTCAAGGGCAAATTTAGTTTAATAGTGCGTGTGGGAAGAACAAGTCGCCACTGATAGTTTTCATCTTGTCAAGATGGGTCTGGTGAAAAGAGATGGGAATAGGATTCTTATGATTCAATAATAACTGTTATCATGAATGGTTGTGACTGCCACAATTGTAAAGGTAGAAGTTTTGTAACAAAAACCGGGGAGTAGTTAATCTCATGAGGGATCTGTACATATACCTAGAGGCAGATGTTCGAACAGAACATGGGAACAATGAATGGCTTAAAATTAGTAAAGGTGTGTGGCGGGGTTGTATTCTTTCACCATACTTATTCAGCTTGTCTGCTGAACAGATAATCTGAGAAACTGGGTTATATGAAGAAAAACATGGCATCAGGATTGGAGGATGACTCATTAACAACCAGTGATCTGCAGATGAAACAAACTTGCTTGCTGAAAGTGAAGAGGGCTTAAAATATATGCTGATGAAGATCAAAGGGCACAGCCTTTGATATGGGTTTCATCTCAATGTGAAGAAAACAAAAATCTTCACCACTGGACCAATAAACTACATTCTTGTTGTCGTTATGTGCCGTGGAGTTGGTTCTGACTCATAGCGACCCTGTACAGGGTTTCCTAGGCTGTAAACCTTTACGGGAGCAGACTGCCTCATCTTTCTCCTGCTGGTAGTTTCGAACTGCTGACCTTGCAGCTCACAGCCCGATTCGTAACCACTACGCTACCAGAGCTCCTTAAACAACATTCTTATCAATGGAAAAAAATTGAAGTTGTCAAGGACTTCATTCTTCTTGGTTCATCTATCAGCACTCAAAGAAGCAGCAGTCAAGAAATCAAAAGACGTATTGCAGTAGGCAAATCTGCTGCACAAGACCTTTTGAAAGTGTTGAAGATCAAAGATGTCAGTTTGAGGACTAAGGTGTGCCTGACCTAAGCCATGGTGTTTTCAATAACTTCATATGCATGTGAAAGCTGGACAGTGAATAAGGAAGACTGTAGAAGAATTGATGCTTTTGAGTTATGGTGTTGGAGGAGAATATTGAAAGTGCCGTGGGCTGCCAAAAGAACCAACAGATCTGTGTTGAAAGAAGTGCAACCAGAGTGCTCTTTTTGGAAGCCAGGATGGCCAAACTTTGTCTCTCATACTTTGGACACATTGTCCTGAGGTACCAGTCATCGGAGAAGGATCTCATGTTTGCTAATGTGGAGGAGGGTCAGAGAAAAAGAGGAAGACACTCAGCAAGATGGATTCGCAAAGTGGCAGGATCAATGCACTCAAGAGTGGCAACCATAGTGAGATTGGCCCAGGAATGGGCAGTGTTTAGGTTTGTTGTGCATAGAGTTGATATGGGTCGGTAACAACTCGATGGCACCTAACAACAGCAACAGTTAAACTTACAATCCAGAAAGAAAAGATCCTAAGACCATCAAAGAATAGAACAAGCGGAATGCAACACCTTATCCAGAGAAGCAGCAATATCAGAGATGGAGGTAGAGATTGGGACCTGGAGAGAGGGAGCACCTGAGGACTGTGGAATCATGGTAAGAGAGGGACTAAAGGCTGGTTGGTGGCCAGGAGGCAGACTTGCAGAATGTGGTCTTTGCTGATATAAATTATTATACATGCTTGAGTGTTTAAAAACAAAACAGATAAAGTGAATAGAAATATTGTTAACTGATGGTACATAGAGGGGATTCTAATCATTGTAGTGAAAAAAGGTGTATGATTTGTTGAATATAAATTCTGCCCTGTAAAATTCCACTCAATCCACAACAAAAACCTTACAGATTTTTTAAAGACTTCCATCATGGATAAAACACGAGGGGACTGCCTGCTTGGTGTACTTGCTGGCTTGTTCTGTACAGATATGCGTGTGCTCCCTTCTACAGAAGTAAATTTTGCCTTCCCTAGGTAATTTATTCTTACCAAGTGTCTTGTTGTGCGACATAGGGGTTGATTTCTAACACAGGGAAAGATGGGAGATATACCAGACAAACCTTGAAACAAAACCCAATGAAATGAAAGTCAACGTAACAGAAATAGGACAATTCTACATAATGGCTATTATTTATTGGTAAATGGAGAAATTCTCTAAAGAACTTGCAATTTACTTTAAAAGGAAAGACTGAAAATTCAAACTTTATCTGCTTCAAAAATACGTGAGAAATCTCTGAGGACTGGTATCTGCGTTGTAGGCTATATACCTAATTAAGTAAACAGGCAATTCTCTAGGCTTCAAATCCACACAAAACAGCCCAAATCAAAACCCAGGAGAAGGAACTGGATCTCAGGGTCATGGTGGTAGGGTAAAGGGGACCCTCTGTGTGAGGACACATTCCACATTTCCGGTTCTCACACGGGTACCCTGAAGTTTCTCAACGCGCATCTCAGGAAGCGGAAGTGGCGTCTCTGCTCCGTTACACAGTCCCCCGCGCACCGTTTTCCATGGTTGCTTCCATGAGAATTCTCCGTGTTTCTCTCTTTCAGTGGCGGCAGCAAGGAGGCCCCTGTCGGGACCGCAGGTAGTTGTTCCGGCTCTCCTGCTCCGGGCCGGCCTCTTCTTCGTCCCGTGGCTGCTCCCGAACCAAGGCATCTCCTGGAGCCGAGCTGGCCTGACTCGGCCCGGAGGGGGCTGGCTGTGTCTCGGTGCATTCCCAGGTAATGTCCTGTGCGTCCTCCAGGGACACGGTGCATCGTAGATGGGCAGAGTCAGGGCCTCCGGGACGTCCTGTCTCGGCGTCTCCCCTGAGTCCGGACAGCTGGCTCCAGCCCCTCCAGTCCCTGCTCCCAGGGCTCCCTGTCCTTTCCCGGGCTGCTTCAGGGCAGGACTTTCATGAAGTAGTGCTGGGCATGCGCAGTCAGGTCCTGCTGGGATCAGCCGCTTCCCAGGTGTTGAAGACATGTGGTTCATGTGAATATTGGGAGTTGGAGGAGTATGCGAATTTAGAACCGGATAATCATGAATTTGGGAGGAAAACAGTAAGCGGCAAACTTAAGGACTTGTTTTCAGTGTAAGGCAGATCAGAGACAGCACGGCCAATCCCAGTTCATCTGATGTAAAATGTGGAGTGAGTGCACAGTCTAAAGGCAGGGGATGAAGGGTTTGTAGAGACCTCACACCCAGTGTTTGTTCAGGATCTGAAGGGTCCACTGAGGCCGAATCTGTGGGATTGGATGCCAGTGGTTGAACCACCATTTCTGCAGCAAGAAGCCCCACTGTTCCCTAGAAATCAGCCCGGATGAAGGGCTGAAGGTGGAGAACCTGCCACACTCTCTTTCCTCAACACTGTCTTCTCCCCTCCTTCTCCCATTTCAGGTCAGAGCCCACCACAGGGAGAAGGACTCCAGTCTAGGCAGCTGGGACTGAGGGCGACCGTTTCACACAGCCATGGACTCAAAAGTAAGAATTTCAAAAGCTGTGACTGTCAGTTCAGTGTGCACCACACATTCATCTGCCTTCAGGCTGCTTAGTGTCTTGTTTCTACTGCCATCCCTGTGACGTGGGTTTAGAGGAGACAAAAAATTCAACTTTGAGAAATGAACCGGAAATGAGAGTAGCATAGAATTGAGTATTTCTTGTAAAAAGCAGATTTGGTTTTATTTGATTTGGTTGGGGAGCACCTCTGTGCTCTGTGTTTATTTTATGAAGGAGTGGGTGGCTGAACAGGCCTAGTAACTAAATCTCCAGACCCTGCTCCACTAAGACCTTCTTCTCTCTCTCTCTGTGGTTTTACACCTGGCATGCCTGGGTCACTTGGCTTATTTGACTTTCAGGGTCTTATGTGATCACATGTACTTAACATCTCACCTTGTATTTTGGGCTCAGTGCTGTTTGACAGAGTCCAGAGTTTGAGGATGGAGCCGCTGTTTTTGAGGAGGTTAAGCCCCAGGTCCTCCAGATTGATCCTGTCCTGTCACAGTGGTCTTCCCTTAGACACTAGGACCTTTTCTCTGCAGTTCTACAACCAGAGTACCATCCTTATGTGGTGTGATGGATCAGAGAATGTGAGAGGGGATTGTTAGGGGAAGAAGTCGGCTTGTATCATGTGTAAGGTCTCTGACACCATCACTGTAGAGAAGGTTAGTGGTAGCATTAACGAGTGAGATTTAGAATTGGAACTACGGGTAGGTCTAGGCTAGGCTCTTCAGTCACATCGACCCTGTGTAGGGTTTCCAAGGAGCAGGATCGCTGATTTTAGAGATAAGCAGGGTAAACCTTTTATGGTATCCACACCAGTGTGCACAAATACACAGACACATTGCAAATGAATATATGTTTTAAACCTTTATTGTAATTTCAATGACAGCGTACAACAAGGCCACTATCTTTGCATTCAGTAATCATACCTTTTCTTTCATGTGAGTAATTACCATCCTTTCCATGCAACAACAGTTATCCCACTTTCTCCTTCTAGTTCCTAATTGCACCCACCTTCCCGTCCCTTCTCAACGTTGTCGGCCCTAGAAAAATGCCCTTTGCTTTTCAATGATTGCTGATTCCATGGTGAATACACCTTACTCATGTTGGCCTCCTGTATACACCTATCTTTTGCATGACTATAAATTGGATCTCTAGGGTGCATACCTTTCCAGATGTGTAGGGTGGTCAAGGGCCATGGTCTCAGGTACCTCTATTATCTTTCTAATTAGAATACCCGGCAGTTTGTTTTTTAAATATAATTTGGGTTTGTTCCACATATTCTCCTACTCTATCTGGGACTACTCGATTCACAATAAAAAGTTAGAAAAAATGGAAAAAGTGTAAGATCAGTGTATGAAGGAGGAATTGTCACAAAGTACTGATCCACGAGCCAGATTTACACACGCTCTCTCTAGAATAAACATGCTCCTGTATGAGCTGAAAGCCGAGTATCAATACTTCTTTACTTACCCCTGAGGAGAGCACTAAGACTGGAATTGTTGGTAATGCTGTTGAGTCAGTTCTGATGCATCGTGACCAAGTACAGTGTCCAAGGAGCAGGATATATTTGGAGGACTAAGTTTAGTATATTATAATTATTGTTAAATCTATGGACTAAGACACCTCTCATCAGGAGGTAAATGCACGCAGGAAAAGACAAGTCTCACATCCACTTTATGTTGTCTCTATATACATCCTCAGTTGCCCTTGGCTGTGTCAACCATCCTTTTGCATATAGTAGGGATTGTGGTGCCTTGTTATACATAATATTTTTTCTGTTTTAGGATTCTGTGAGATATGCAGATGTGGCCGTGGAATTTACCCAGGAGGAGTGGAGTTTGCTGAATTTTTCTCAAAGGAAACTTTACAGAGATGTGATGTTGGAAATCTTAAGTTATCTGGACTCAGGTAAGGATTCTTTCATTTTTCTGATTTTTCCCTCTATTTTTAGATAACATTATTCTATTAAACTTATAGGTTTGTGTTCAGGCAAGGAAAGACTTCAGGATTCAGACAAGTGTTTTCACTGACCTCATGGAGTCAGACTAGTAGATTGCTGCTAAAAGTTAACACCTTATGTGTGAAACTCTCTATTTTTCTTGTACTGAAAGCTCTGAGGTTCTGTAAGTGTTGTAAGTGAAAACATTGATTATGATGGTTAGTGTTTGGGCAAAGAAAGATGTGGTTTGGAACCTCATTAGTGTTTTATTGTGCATATTAGTAATTTGACATGATTATCTTTATGTATCGAAACCAGTGTTCATCTGCATGAGGATGAAATTAAAGTTGGTGTATGTTCAGGTGTGGTGCTGTAGGACAAGCACTGGACCACAGGGTCTGTTTGAACCGTAAGGTCAGTGGTTCTAACTCACCAGCCTCTCCTCATAAATGCAATACACAGTCACTGTGAGTCAGAACCGACTCGACAACAGTTAACCACCACAAACATGATGAGAAGGTTAAGAAGTCCCAAATGTGCAAATTGTTAATACTACTGTAGCACTCCCTCAGCTGTGATGTCACCTTCTGCTCCTCCCCTCAGGGTCTCCCTCTTGTATTAGGGTTTCTTAATTTGCTGCCATTTCTCACAGAACTCACAAAGTGTCCATGAACGGACTCCTGCGATTTGGGGCCTGTTAGGTCCCCAATCCATGTGTCAGATGTCAGTGTGGAGGACTCTCCTCTCAGGGCAGGTCACATGATAGACTGTTGACTCACAACATTGTAGAAGCTGGCAAATCATGTCAGATGATAGGCTACCAAATCTGAAACGCCAGAGAGAAGTTTAAGAGTCAGATTCAGAATCCAGGGCAAAGGATTCCGATATATCGGACTTTGAAACAGTGTTCCTACATGCTGGAAACAGACCACATCTCATGGAAACTGTGGGTGGTAACTTGATCCACACAGTGTAGTAAGGGAGCATCTCAAGGCATCTCCTACCTTAACCCTGTCTCATGAACATAATGGAAAACTCACTCCAAAGTGGGAGCATAAACACAGGCATAGATCTAGGAATCACACAGCTTCACAGTATTGAGGACTAGTCTTGTTGTTACGTGCCGTGGAGTCGGTTCCGACTCCTTGCGACCCTACGTGGGGTTTCTGAGGCTGTAAATCTTTATGGTAGCAGAATGCCTCATCTTTCTCCTGCGGAGCAGCTGGCAGTTTCGAACTGTTGATCATAAAGATTAGCAGCCCGATTTGTAACCACTACGCTACCAGAGCTAGAAGGTCTATATAAACGAGTTAACGGTACCACAACATCTGGAGACCCTGAAAACCAACAGAGTGGTCCAATATCAATAAAATTGATGCATGATCTGTTCCCATGATCTGCATTCCTTGATGAGCACCCTGTCACCCACTAATTTAATCCTTCGAAGGAAGTGAAAGATCTGAGAGTGGAGATAGCATTTGTCAAGAGCCTTTGTGTTGAGGAACACACAGGCAAGAATCCTTTGAAGTCTAAGACCTGCTAGGATGGAAGACATTTGAAAAAATCAAGTAGAAATTGTCTCCTTTTCTTTGATGTCAAAGAGTTAGAAGTCTCCTTTGTTTGGCTGAAACAGTGCTTTGTTTATCCAAGGTCTCTTTTTGTCTCCATATAAAGTTCATAATCATTTTTTCCATCTCTTTAAACAATGATATTGAATTCTAGATAGGAATTGCATTATATCTGTAGATTGCTTTGTGTGTTTTTTATAATTCTGCAATTTTAACTCTTCCTATCCAAAAGAATAAGGAGCTCTGTCTGGTAGCATAGTGGTTACGAATGGGGCTGCAAACCGCAAGGTCAGCAGTTCAAAACTGCCAGCTGTTCTGCAGGAGAAAGATGAGGCTCTCTGTTCCTGTAAAGATTTACAGCCTCGGAAACCCTATACAGGGTCGTTATGAGTCAGAACTGACTCCACGGCACGTAACAACAACAACAACAATCCAAAAGGATGGTATAGTCTTCCATTTCTATGAACCGCTTTCATTTTCTTGTAATAGTGTTTTTTTTAAGGTTTTTACTGTGGATTGAGTGAAAGTTTACAGGATATATCATCAGTTTTACATTCAACAAATCGTATACCTTGTTTCATTACATTGATTATA